TGAAAATGATGATGGTGTTGAAATGAACTTATGGATTCTAATTTTATTCACTAGGTTTCCAATTGTTACTATTGTTTATTTTGATATGCAAGTTGTTCCATATTTGGCCAATGGGAGCCCTTCACCTGGCCCCCTGTCCCTTTCAGACATTCAATCATTCTTTGTATATTTTCTGGCTTTCTGGTAAAAGAAGAATACTGCAGGCTCATTTCATACCTTTTTCTGTTCAACCTAAGAATCAGCCATTTTGCCAAGGAGACCTGGTTCCTTTTGCTGAACACACACACACACACACACACACACACACACACACACACACACACACCACTATATTTCTATTATATATGATAATTTGTATATGTGACACACATAAACATATACACTATAATTTACCTTTCTTGTTGGTATAATGATGTTAATCAAAGTCTTTTTAGAATTATATGTGCATATTATCCTTTCCTCTGGTTTTGAAAATGAAATATGGGGTGGTTTTTCTCACTACAATGCCATTTTTTTCAACTTCCATCATGACCAACAGCAAGAGCCCTGAAGTACACGTGGTCAGTGACAATAGGACTTTTCACATTTCTAGAAATGTATGTGTTCTGTCCTTTTGATTTTGGGAACAAGTTAGGCAAAGAATGGGGCCTAGGTCTAAACCCAGGAATGCTCGCTCACACAGGGTGTGGGGATATGCTTTCCCCAGTAGTCTGGGTTCTGACTGGGTTAAAGACAGTGAGTGACACATTGCATTGGGTTTCTGTTGCTTTGAGATTACTATGGGAAAATACAAAAGTTATTTTTTATGATTTTAGCTGCACTCACTGTTTTTATTGTTGTTGAGTTCCTTCCTTTTTGAGGTCTTCCAAATAAAGGAGACTGATTCTAGCTGGCTCTAATTACAAAACTGTGTTAGAGATTAGAAATGAAGACTGAATGTCTTATACAAGGTATAAAGGAACTTTACCTTTGTTCCCAGGATCCATAAGTATAGCCCTTACAAATACACAACGAAGCCTTCTCCCCCTCCTTCCACCATATGGCTGATAAATAACCAAGTGTATCTAATATTAAGGTGCTGCACAACCCCCATTTATTTTTATGTCTTGTATACTTTATAATATATAATTCATTGTCTTGAGTAAAGTCCTTGTGTATATAATACATAAATAATCCAACATCACAGAGGAAAAACATCATTACAAAAAATGACAATTAAGCAAAAGAGTAGAAAATCTTGTCTCTACTATTCAGGTTTCTTTAAGTGTTCTTTTAAACCTTTGAATAGGAGGTCCTAAACTGAGGACCAGAGTAGCCTAGCCTGAGTTGAAAAAGCCTTGAAATTGTCTAAAGCAGCCAAGTAGGTTTTCCCCTGAAGACAGAGGCTCTAGTCTCTAGTTTCCAGCATATTCTGATAATATTAGTTGCTGCCTTTTACTAAGTTCTTACCAAGGTCTAGGCATTTTACAGATAAAAAAGAGAGGCGAGAAGCATTCTCTGAGGTTACCAGTCAAGTAAGTTGTGCAGCTGGAATTTGAGCAGAGATTTGTTACAAAGTCCATGTTCCTTTCACTCCTACACCATGCAGGACTGTCTAAGTCAGTGGTCCTCAACCTTCCTAATGCTGAAACTCCTAAATACAATTCCTCATGTCATGGTGACCCCCAACCAGAAAATGATTCCATTGCTACTTCATAACTTTAATTTTGCTACTGTTATGAATTGCAATGTAAATATCTGCTATTTAGGATATCTAATATGAGACCCCCGTGAAAGGGTCATTCAAGCCCCAAAGTGCTCCTGACCCACAGTTGAGAACCACTTGTCTAAGGAGACGCTGTGGTCCCACAAGCTTATGGGGTCTTAGGGGCTTCCTTTGCAGGGAAATTCTGGTGCTGATAACCTACTTGCAGGAATTAGCTAGAGTCACTGCCATCCTTACCACTAAAGGAAGGGTAACAGCATAAAATTTCTTTCATTTCTGTCTTTATCATGTGACAGCTAGGAAAATGGTAGATAAATCTGAGTGACTATAACATGGCTAGCTTTTGTCTAATAAATTTGTTTTTATGGTCTGGTCCATAGAAGGATTATGACCCTTAAAAATAAATTTTAATGAGCACATTACTAGGTTACAAATCTCAATAAATCTATTTACACATAAAATATATATGCATATATATTTATATTCATGAGAACAAGGCTTTGGGGGAACATGTAACAGAAAAACATGAACCCTATCTGGTTTAATGAACATATATTCATGACAATTGGAGATAACTTAGGAATATTTAAACAGCATGGTGATAAATAATA